TCGCAGGAATCTTTCCCGCCACCAACGGTTTCCGGCACGGGTTCAAGGAAGTCATCCTCATCATCATCGTCGTTGTCCAATAAGGATTTACCACAGAGTGCTGATTGGGCCTACCACAAAATAGTGTACAATCACACACAGTGGAAATACCATAGTGAATTCGGGCCGAGGAGCGTACAGTGGCGTTATGAAGGCTAAGGAGATGTTGCATACACCCTATAATGCGAAGCTTCCTCCCGAATCAATTACCATATCAAACGTAAAAGTAACGCTGGGCGTTCCTGGCTTCCGACAAGCATAGTGGACGAGACCACATGCCTTATTTAGCTCCTGGCCACCAGTGAAACCAGCAAAGACCGTCTCCATACTTAAATCTAGTTTATCATCTGGATGTAGTATCTAGGGACATCACTGGAGGGTTTATTCCGGACACTTCAATGCTTACGAAGATGTTAACAACTCCAGCGGGCTTCAACAGAGCGGCGACTTTGCTGAGGAAATAATAGTCAACCTAAGGAGATCCCGACGTGCAACGACGCTTGACTGTAGAGTTACCTTCATTTTGGCTTCCTCGCTGAACAGGGCGATCTGATCGAACGCTAGCCTCGGAAATGCAGTGAGATGTTCAGGCATCGTCAAGTCGGCCTGAGGCGTGAGATAGCTCTTAAGCCAGTTCAGGGACTTGGGAAAATTAGTTATTCTGTGTTGTGAAGTCCCCGACAACGAGAGGAAATTAACATCTCGAGACGTACACACGTCTCGAAACGACAATGTGTTACATACGTTAGTTCTCCCTACCAAAAAAGGAAATAATTTTCATAACGATCCAACGGCAAGACTTTCGTGTTATAGACGAAATCATCAATAAGACTTACCTGTCCAGGCAGAGTGAACACTGCGAGGTAATTATTGATCATTCGCTTCAAGCTGGACGACATGTCAGCCGCCCGTGGGGCTACTATCAGTACAGTGCCTTGGACAGCCGTGTACGGGTTGATATGTCTTGACGAGGAACAGGACATGAAGTAGGACTATACAATTGACACTATAAAGCCGCTGGGCGTTGACACCAACTACTGCGGATGTCACCAATAGCAACTTTTGTGCAGTTGCACGTAAAGCGTCACACGTGTCGACCAATTCACTACTCGCAGCTTAATCTTGCTATCTTGTGCCCTCTTGCTGAGCTCAGTATAGATGTATACGTAAGAACGTGCCGAACATACGGCCCACATTGACGCTTAGCATATGGTATGTACTGTACATGACGGTCTGATCAATCTATAGTTGTACATAATGTACAATTGTAGATTGATTAGACCGTCGAATTTAGGCGGATTATTTCTTAACTGCAGGGTGTCCCAAGAAAATGTGCTGTTTTGATTAACTTTTTCTGTAAGCTGGTCAAAATTCGCTTACAACGGAACAGGTCACACTTTGCTGTTATTTTACTCGAGTAATAACTGCATATAAATGTTACTTTTCACAGCTTGAAACTTCGCTGAATATTCAACTTTTACAAAAAGCTATTCAAAAAAACACATTTTACTTGGAGCACCCTGTATTCGGTGGCTATAGACCGATTAGTCTTCTACTGTCTGCACTAGACTCTGTGATCGTGACTAGTTCGACCACTACTAGCTCTTGGGCCACCACTATTAGGACCAGAGACTACTATTGCTCAAACTATTAAAGCGCGCCTTAGTGGTTTGGTCTACTCAGATTCTGTTTTCCCCAAGACTCTAAACGCTCCCTACAAGCCCACCGCCGAGCCGAGCAAATGTGATGGGTCTATGGCAGAGACCATCGCATAGTTCACGAATCACATCATGATTATGATCTATGATAGTCTTGGATCACATAGTTTTCGGCGTCTGGTATCCATGATCAACGGCTGTTGAATGCTGGCAGCCCACCGAGTCGGACTTTTGAACTCACACAGCACGTATTGTTGAGAAACATCACTGTAGCAATACCGCATGCGATATTCAAGCCAACATCATGTTAACAACATCTCGCTATGCCCGGAACAAAGTGATAGTTCTGTAGAGAATGGGTCATCTACTCACTCTTCATCTACTCATCTACAGCATATCTCATCTACTATTGCTGATGGCTATCCATCGATGATGCACTTCGTTTTGAGTTCACTTTCTCGATAACCTACGAATCAACAGCAGCACAGCACAATAATTTGACCTTTCAAGAGAATTCTTCACGCGAGGAGGATCTTATGGCAATCATTCTTACGTTTCGATATTGGTTTTGCTACTGTTCTTAGAAATCTGTCACGCGCCCCTCAGAAACACATTTGAGACAAGCCTCACTGTAAGGATCTCCTTCAGGTTTTTGCCACTAATTGCTTTCCCATTCCTGGACAATGCCGTGGCTATAGCAGGAGCCGCTTGTTCCATCCATTCCCAGGGCCTCATCGTCTTCTGAAGAATTTGTTGTGCTATTTATTATGATTACTGCGGTCACTTCGCATGCTGCAACAGTAGCGGCCTTGCCGCTAGACATGTAAGGTTCGACGGAGTAGATGTAGGGGTCGTATGGGTGACGGCACTGTAGCCCAGTTACTTTACACGGCCACCATATGTTCTTGCGAGCACTCTGAGCACACAGTGTGTACGAATTCAACATACAAATGCGTTACTCTCCAAGATTATCAAGAATCGATCCGAAACTAGATCACATATACATATACAATGCAAGCACTGCTATGAACAACTTTAAACCGCGATAGCGAGAACTTGGTCCATCCCGCGCTCGCTCACAAAACCTGTCTTTGTCTCACCGAGCTCCACACATCCTCGCCAATCCTATAGCACACTTTACGACCAGCCAGCCATTTCTTCTGACACGGCCAGCAGACCCACTCCTGAACGGTGTAGCAGAACTTGGCGAGTATAATGCAGGAGCACCACCATTTTAGTGAAGTCGACCTCCTCCGGTAGCTCTGGCTCGTGACATGCCTTGTGCCAGTGCTTTTGGCAGTTGCAGCATCTAATCGTCGGTATCGTGCTTTGACCACGGCACTTCTCACAGAGAGTAGAAGAACCTTTTATGTCTCATGATATGCGACATAACCCGGTACTTGTGCTACCTCGTCTCGGTCTACGTCTCGATCGACCGGCCGAGTTCTCGTCAGTCTTTACCTGATAGTGACTCCTTCATCAGGGAAAGACTTTCCAACACTGCGAAAATAGAGCGCGAATAACGGGCGTCATTTCTCCCCGCCGTGGCTTCATCACAAGATAGCTGCTATAGAATAATACATTATATAGCACCAGATCGAAATAGGGATCAATGTGGCCGCGGCCCGAATTCCCAAGCTTACCTGCTGGAAGGTCTTATTCCATGCTAGCGCTATCTCATTGACAGGATTTATACTAGCCTCAGATTGGGTCGACCTTTGTCTCTTCTTCGCTGCTTTTCTCGGCTCCTTTGGCACTTTGTTCCTCCGTTTACGGTCAGATGTCGATTTCGTTCCGCGACCCTCCGTTGTCTTTCAACTGCGGCTCCTTCTCGAGCCCTTCAGAGCTGGTCTCATTGGTTGGTTCGTCGATCACCACAGTGCTCGAATCACACGGTGTGACTTCGGCGGGCAAACACGGACGAGATTTCCACCTCAGCCACTCGAGTAGGAGCACATCTGTGATTTCATTTTCTGTGAATGAATTCCCGAACCTATTCCGAATCTGC